TATCCAGCAAGTGGTGGTTGCCAGATCCTAAACCAGCCTTTGTGGCCGTGATTTGTACTTTGTCTTAGGGGATTGTGTCATTCTGTTCTTTGGCACCTTGCAGACAGTAAGAATTCTGACCTTTTGGCTTTCCTATGTCAAGCCTGTTCCTCCTCAAATGGAATGCCCCTGATTTGTTTTGTGAGCTCTTTTGAAGATGGACAGTTGTTGAATCTTGGCTAACAACCTTTTCCTCCAAAATAGGTGCTAGTATGTGGTTTAAACTGTCCTTTTCCTTCTCAATTGTTTGAATGTCAGCCTCTAAGCCTTTTCTTGTGTACCTTCCAGACTAGGAAGGATTTCACTGAATTTCCTGTACTGCTTTGTAATGGATAAGAGGATACTGAACTCTGCTTGCTCGTCCTTGTGCCATTGCCTTTGTGGGTGGGAGCGTCGTTCTCTGAGCTTGGGGGTCTCCACAATCGTGTACCCAGCGAGCTGTACTGTATTGGCAGAGCTCTTTGAGTCTTACTTCTCTGTTCATTTTGTTGCTGTGATTCCCAGGGAACTCAAATTTGGTCTACGCTGTTATCCGCAAGCGGAATGTATTTCACCAGCTGGCCAACTTACCCACAGACTCCCAGTCCATCCAGAAAGGTCTGCAGCGCAAGAAGAAAACTCCTGAGCCTATTTCTCGCACCAACTCCCAGGACGGGGTCTCCATGGAAGGGTCACGTCCTCCTGCCCCTGCTTAACCAGGGACGCTGAAGACGAGTTTGGTGGCTACTCCAGGTCAGCTTTAGTTTACCTTTGTAACAGGAGAGAGGTTTGTTTTCCCTTTGAGATATGGTATAGACTCGCCCTTTCACTGGGTGTGGGAGAGATTAGGAGTTTACATCTGTGAATAACTTACTGCCTCTCAGTTTCAGATCAGTTTGCCCAAGCTGATCACAAACAAGTCAAAGTAAACTGCCTTGAGTTTGTCGCCTCTCAGACCGAGCGTCCACGTGGCCATTTGTCCTAATCTTGACCTTTTGCCTCAGTTTAACTATATCCATGTGAACCTGTGTGCCTCTTACATGAGGGAGCATGTTACTAGAGACAAATTAACTCCTTTGGTGTGATGAGATCAAGGCTAGATATTGCTTCTCCTGGTGAAAGGAGAACGTTTAGATGCATAGGGTCTGTGCGTGGTAGGGCAGAGAAGGACCCCCTGCTCTGAAGTGTATTTAACTCACATGTGTTTCCGAGCTTTTTCTTTTCTGAACACAGGAATTGACAAGCTCACAGAGAAGTCACAGGTATCGGAGGATGGGACCATGCGTTCACTGGAGCCCGAGTCTTCACAGCCTACACCAGAGGGTAAACCACCCTCGGCTGTGCGCGATGGGCATGAACTAAAATTGGGGGCTTTGGGAGAAGTCTGGTTGGCCCGCTGAAGAAAGGCATGTATTGGAGGCAGTATGCACAGATGCTGGGCTGGAAAACGCTGTGGTTTAGAAGTACTGTTGCATCATCTTGGGTGTTTCATGTTTGTGCTAGTGACACAAGAGCTAGGACACTAGAGGAGTGAGCTTTCTCCACCTTGAAAGCTACTGATAGAGCAGCAAGTGCGTAATTGCAAAGGGATGTATTCCTGATCCAGAGCCTTTCAACTCAAGTTCTAACCGCTGCTGCTTTTTCCTCTCCCTCCTTTCTGGGATGCAGAGCTCTACCAGAATCTTCTGGCTAGCTGGTGTTGTGAAAGATGCGTTCCCATGGGGGCTTGGCTGAGATGCTCCCCTCAGAGCGGCGGCTGCTTGGCCATGCTTTGCAGTCTGTGAATCAAGGCTGTGCTGGCCTCCTAGGCTGTGGTGGCAATGTCAGCCTTCTGGCATTTGCTAGTTTTCCCCATCAAGAGCTATAAAAACGGCTATCTTCCAAATTCAGTTGAGCAGCAGTCTCTTACTGCTCTCTAACTCCTCAGTCCATGTCCTTTCCTGTCCAGCAGCAAAAACCTCCAGGCTGTCTTGTGGGAAGTGTGTTACAAGGCTTTTTCTGCACATCCTCTCCTCCTTCAGCAAGGCCACATTTATACACCTAGTGCTGCCTTGTTCTCTGCCTGAGCATTTACTGTCCACTGAACCATTTCATTGCAGTGAGAACATTGCATCCCTTCACACAGGGAGGCGTGGTTGCCCCATGGTGAAAGGCATAACTTTCCCAGCTTTTCCTCTCTTACTTTTATCTGGAGTGGCCAAATTGACACAGTAGCTCTCACAGGTGTGGAGCAAACTGGGCAGGAGGCGATGAGTTGGGATGGGATGATACATTTTTATCATGGGCTCCTATGGATTGTGGTGGTGCTACAAGAATCCTTGAGTCTGTTTTGCTCTCTAGGTGCTTTTGGCTGAGCCAGTACTGCAGAATTGGGGTGCAAATGGGGGATGTTTGCAAAGGCATTGCAATCTAGCAGAGCAGGCTGAAGACTCCTATACTCTACCCTTATGTCCTGACCCTCTCCGCTTGTTCTGCTTATGTGTGTGGGCTTTTGGTCTCAGACAGTTGCCCATTAGCTGTCCCACCTGGCTCCAGCAGTGCTGTTTGCACATCTGAATGTTTGTGGGGTGGGAACCAAAAAGCAGATGGGAGGTGAAGGGCAGTAAAGCAGTGGGCGTGGGATATGCTGTGGGGAGAACCATCACTGCTGTCGCGTGCCGCTTCAGGTGGCACACAGCTGTTTCCAGGGATTGTGGTGTTTCAGACTCACTGAACGTTGTTTTCTTTCTGTGCTCCAACTTGATTCCAACCTACTGAGTTAAGATAAATGAATAAGAGGTACTGGATAAATTTTAGGTTACCCACCCTTATGACTGATTTTAATTTCCTTCCTTTATCTGTTGTAATGTTCTCCCCATATCAGTCATAACCATTTCAAAAGTGTCTCGTGAAATGTTCAACAGCCTCCATATTTCAATGTAATTCCATCTTATCTCTTCTAAACGTGTCAGCTGGCTGCCAGCGTTTGGATGGCAGTTGTGAGGGGGCAAGGGCTGTGGGAGAGTGAGGAGGAAAGAGGAAGAGGGTAGGGTTATCTGAAGAAATCAAGAGTGTTTTATGTTTTTATTAATTTTATTTTTAGAAGCTTGATGAGGACATGGCGCTGAAGCTGAACAGGCTGAATGATAAGGTCATAGCTGCAAACATTGCAAAGTAACATTGCTGTTTAGGCTTTGAATAAACCAGAATGAACAGAATTCCCGAATATCCTAGGACCAGTTTTACTTACCCTTCCTGGCCTTCTCTGGTACCAGATAAAGGTCCATGATCAGCAAGATGCCTTAAGCACACAATTAATTATGTTGTCATTAAGGGATATATTTGCTGACAATTTACAGAAGAAAGATTTTGTTCTTCCAGCAGGCCATGAAACACAATCTTGGGTCATTGCATCTCTGTGTCCAGCAGCTGGCTTGAGCTGTTCGCCAGTCAGAAACGGACTGGTACAGCACTGTCACCTTGCAGTGGCTTGCAGCACAGGGCTGCCTCTTGCCTGCTGTTTCTGGTTGCGAAGGTGACGTGTGAACGAGTCCACGCACGTGGAAGTGCAGGATGGCTGTTGGAAGGAAGTGTTCCCGTTTGTTTTGTAGAAACAAAAGCTATAGGCTGTAGTAATGAATGGTCAGGGTGCATTGCAAAAGGAAATTTTGTATTTTTACCCCATGCAAAAGTCAATAGTGATTTTAGAGGCTTATTTCCTTCCTTCCCACCGTGAATATTTGGATCTTTCCTTGGCAGACCTGGAAAGCCAGGGTGGTAGTAATGTGTTCTGTGTAAGATAAACAAAAATAGCACGATGGCGAGAAGAACAGTAAGAGAATTGAGTCTTGGGCTTTTGACCAGAGCTTTTCAAAAAGTGACAGCGATGGTGTTTGTGTTTGGAGGTGTGAGTGTATTGTTCCTTAGGGGGCAGGGGTTGTTAAGTAGGAGTTGCTGAGAGCCCACCCTTGGAAAAACACTCTTTTAAGATATTCCAGGATGGGCAACAAAAATCCCAGAGATACTCAGTAGACAGAGGTCTGAAAAGCTGTGGCCTTTAGTTGTTTATTCTCTGTGCGAGAAGAAAGAAGCATGCTTCAGCAGTCATTTCCCTGTCCTGTTTTAACTCTCCCACTGTCTGGGATTGTTCCAACAGAGTGTCAGCAGCGGTGACTGAGGTTGTGACCTTGCCACAGGGTCCTACAACTTAACCCCATCAAGTATTGCTACTCACTGGGTCAAAGCATATGGTTTTGGTGAAGGAAGGTCTGGTGGATGTGATCTGTTCTAGGGACAGGCTGAGCTGTCTGTCCCAGCAGTGCTCCAGAAAAGCTGGAGTGAAAGTCAGCAGAAAATGGATTGTATTTCTTGCTCTTAAGTGTGATTTTCTTTTGGTTGGTTGGTTGTTTTTTTAAAAACAGTGTTTATTGATAGGAGGCATCACATCCCCGAGGGGATCGAAGGCGTCTCTCTAGTGCATCCTCCAGTGGACAGTGGACACCAACTCCTGACTGGGTAAGGGAATCTGGGCGGAGGAAATAAATAATGAGGACAAGAACTGTGGCAGAAATGCCACCCCCACCCCGCTCCAGCGGAGACTCCCCCAGAGGAGCATTTCCTCCTGGAGAATGTCTGACTTGCAGTCAAAGCTCCAGAAGTTACTACCATCTGCAAAGAAGTATTTTGTTTTACCTGTTTTAAACCAACGTCCTGCTAGTTTTGTTGAGTGTTTCATAATTCTAGTGCTTCGGGATTTATTGTATTGCTGTTGTGCACTCAGTTCGTCCACCACCTTTGTGATTTTTGTAAACCTCATTTGTTGCAGAGATAGTGGAGATAACTGTAGTAAAACCACTAATGCAGTGCACTGATTTCCCTGTGGGCTTTCCTACTTACAGGTGATGTCTTGGAAGTCAAAGCTTCCCCTGCAGACAATCATGCGGCTCTTACAGGTGCTGGTCCCTCAGGTGGAGAAGATCTGCATTGACAAGTAAGTACATTTCTGGAGAGAAAGGGCTGTGCATCAAGTAAAGAGCTCTGTGAGGTTGGCAGAGGTCGATGAATTTGGAGGGCCTCTAGGGGAAACCTGGTAAAGTATAATGGAAAGCATCACAGTCTCAGCAGAGAAGATGTTATTTTGCTTGCCAGGCTTCTTGTTTGTCTGATTCCTTCTCAACTCTTTTTCGATGGAGAGAGTGTGTGTTCTTGGTGGCTGCAATCGCCGGTCTGCATTTGTTTAGACTCATACTTTGTGCTGCAGAAGTCTTGGAGGTGTCTATGGGACTTGCTAAGGATGTTCCTGATCTGTCCTTTTGCAGGGGTCTCACTGATGAATCGGAGATCCTCAAGTTCTTGCAGCATGGCACACTGGTGGGGCTGCTACCTGTCCCTCACCCCATCCTCATTCGCAAGTACCAGGCTAACTCGGGCACTGCCATGTGGTTCCGGACCTACATGTGGGGAGTTATTTATTTGAGGTAAACCAGCTGGGTGCAGTCTAACTTGGTCTTTTTCAAACTTTTGGGGCTCCTGTAGAGAGAATTGTATGCACTTGGCCAGCTCTCAGTTGTCTCATATTTACAGGGTGTAAAAATGTTGTTCGCTTGGAAGAGACTAGGGTGAATCAGCTGCTCTGAAACTTTGAGCAGGTGACGTGAAGGGAGCTCTTTGGGACTACTGCTTGTTTAGGAACTGGCAGCTTTTCTGTTCCCTGCTGCTTTTTAGAGGGGATGGCTCAGAGATTTCATGCAAAACTCTGGCTTTGTGTGATGCTGTAGATATCGTGGTCCCTTTAAGGCCCATTGTCTCTCAACCAGTGATTTCCTCTTTTGCAAAGTTGAACGCGTTGTGTGTAGCCAGCTCCTGTAATCTTGGCTGTGAGATTTGAATTCCATGTGCCTGGCCGCAGAGAGTAAAGTGTCTCTTGTCTTTCCCTCTCAGGAATGTGGATCCCCCAATCTGGTATGACACAGATGTGAAGCTGTTTGAAATTCAGCGGGTCTAAGAGAGCACTTACCTCTTCTAAGAGAAATACACTGGATCTAAGGACTGCTGTGTGCTGCTTCCTCACAGCTATTCCTGCGTTTCACATCCAGCTGAGAGACCAAAAGGACAATCACTTCATTTACCTCCCTGTCATTTGAAGCTTTAATTGGGACCTGCTTGGACATCCCTCCCCCCAGCTCACTTCTCTTCCCTCACCCTTCACCATCAACCTTGAGTGAAAGATGTCTAAGGGATTGTCCATTGTGGTTGCACTAGAAATCAGACCGTTCTTAGCTCTTCTGTTACTCTTTTGCTCCTGGATGTGGTTTGGAAACCAATCTGACCCTGTCCTTGCCGTGATCGAGTCAGCATTTGATTGAAAAAGACTAGCTGTAAATCAGGTGCAAGGGAGAAGCTGCTATTCCTGCAGGAGATGGGGTTTGGAAACTGCAGTTACCGTCAAGTGGCTCCGTAAAGTTTCCGGGGCATCCCTTCTGGCTGCAGGTGTCTCCCTGGTGTCTCAGCTGCATGTTGGTAGGGAAGTCTTTCCCATCCAAACGAAAGGAGAAGTTGCTGAAGGAAAACTTTGTGTCTCAGTTCTGAATCTGTTCCTTTCCTGGAAAGCTGCTTAAGAAGTTTTGCAGTAGCTGGTGCTTTGGTGTGGAGTGAGAAGATTTATTTTGGGTTCCAGGCCCAGCAGCCTGTCCTTCACGGTGGGCCATTGCAGTGGAGTGTGTGTCACGTTGGAAGGCCCTGCTTAATTCATGTGAGCACACAGGAGGAAGGGACTGGCTCAGTGAGAGCAAGGAGAAGAGCTGTGACTGTTAAATTCTCTTAGTCTTATCCCATTGACTGAAAGGACAGCGTCACCTGGGTTTGAAAGGAACCATATCCTTCCATCTTTGCCTGGAGGCTGATGCAATGCAGAGAGTGGAAAGGTCTTTTGCACACTACTGTCTAAGACAGGAGATTGAGGGAGGCACTCAGGGAAGTTGTAGGAGGAATTTGGAAGTTGTAGGAGGAAAAGCATCTCCATGTCACTAGGGAATGGAGAGTGCTGAGGCAAAGTTCAATTCGTCAGGGCATTTTGCTAGTGACCAAGTTATCAGATCTTGAATGTATTGGGTCCCAAGCACGTGAAGTCTGGGAAGCCAGAACTGGAATTGGTGGGAGACCTGCTGTTGCTGGCTTGGTTCAGCTGCATGGAGTTGTGCATTGGTAGCTGGAGACATCCTGGGGTTTGAGTCAGATTTTGTGTTCTTCTGGGAGGGGCTGCTGTCTTAGACCTTTAGGTCTTTAGGCAATGAAATGTGAGGGTTCCAGTCATGAACTAAGACCTTTCCTTTGCTACCTAAGCTCTGTCCTTGGTGCTCTGGTATTCAGACTCTCAAGAGGATCACTGGCCATGAGCTGTTTGCCACAGTTTAGAACCAGTGAGATCACGCCATGGAAACTGTTTAAGTAAGGGAACAGTTATGGCACATGCTTCTGTGTCTTGTAACCCTTGCCTAAGTTCTGAAGCCAGAGTGATAGCAACATGACCACCCTGTCCTAGAGAGAGCGTTGCTCTGGTGTGCCACTGGCTCCTGCTGGCTTGTAGTCAGGTGGTTTCCTCCTTTGGGCACTGAAAGGGGACTGGAGTCCCAGGCCAGTTGAAAGCTGAAATAAAAGTTTTCTGAAAGATAAGAAATACATGAAATAGAGAGAGGTTTATTGCCTCACCCACCACCGATCGCCAACCCACTTGCCATCTAGCACTACTCCCATTCTGACCCCGTCTCTGTTCAGATGTCAACAGGGTGAGGTCTCTGTTTTACTTGGAATCTCTCTCGTATATAAGAATGTGATACGGTGGGGCCAGCCTCTGATTGTATGGCACTTGCACCTCACAGCTGGAATGGGGCATCCTGTGTCCCATGCGCTTGCCTCTGCCCTCTCATGGATCTGCTGGTTCTCATGATCTCTTCCGTCCTCTCTTTTCTGCTTTGTTTCTTTGTGAGTTTCTCTGGAAACTTTTTTGTTTGTTTCTTGGTGTTTGGAGTCTGATCCTTGTTCTGTGGAAATCAACTTGCACTGTAAACTATTTGCTTACTTACAGAGAGAAAGATAAAGATTATCTGAAACATGCAGTTGGTTGCTTACTTTTTTTCCCAGCGAGAGGTTTATAATCTTGTTTGTCTTGTGCTGGAGTGATTTGTGCTACTAGGAGACTGTGTGCTGGCTTCCTCTTCAATGTGCGGATTTTTTTTGTAATCAGAAATGAAGATTGAACTCTGGAAAATGAGCCTGAACTGTGTATTTGTGGCCATTTCTGTGCTTATGGCATGAGACACCATCCAAGGTAACTGCCTCAAAGGGTACAGAGAACGAACTAGATCAAATGGGATCATATCTTCTGACTTTGTGAACCGTGTACTGAAACCTTTGTGCAGTTGAGACCCATAAAACAGGCACCCTGGCCCTGGGAGGAGAGCTCTGGAAGCCACTGACGGATGGCAGATGACAAAGGATGGTGGAGGAGACTGCAGATGACAAAGGAGCAGGTGGGCCAGTGATATGTCAGGCAGTGTCGGATTCAGGAGTCATGGCTACCTTGCTTCTCACTAGGCTTTCAGATCACTGTGCCCAGCCCTGCTGTCAGTCTCGTGAAGGAGCTGAAGGCAGTTTTTAATCTCATGCAAACTCTGTGTTCATGGTTTTACCCCTCCTGGAGGTAGACACAAATCAGTCCAGAGCTTGGGTCAGGTAGAACTAGAAGCCTCCGAAGTGAAAGGGCTGAAATCTTGGACCCCACATTTCTCTTTGCCCTGGAAGATTGCTTTTACTGTTGCCTGTTGTGCGATTTCTTAACTTCATCTGCAGTGTTAGAACTGGTGGTTGTTAGGGAAGGACACAGAGGGCCTTCACCACTTACCTGATCTACAGTGGCTGTGTGTAAGAGTTGGAGCTGGTGGGCTTCGTTCTGTTTGTGCTGATCATGCATTCAAGTGGTCCGTCTGTTTACCAGCAAGAAACCACAAACCGACTTCGTTTTCAGTCCTTACTTGTGTGTAGTACGTATGTGACTTACTATTTATATCTCAGTGGGAGACCTCCAAAGGCACCTGCTCACTGGAGGCTCAGTAGCTTCAACAGTGTTTTATCTGTTACACCGCAGATAAAATCCAGGTCATGGCTTTGCCCATGAAGTACATCATTGTTTGTCCCCAGGCTGTCAATAACTAAGAAGAAGGTTTGAGATCGTGTTCATCATTTGAAAGGGCTAGGCCTTGGCATGTGTCTCCTGTAGATCCCGTGGTGCAGACTGTGAAATGAGAATAATAATTAACTTTACTGGAGCCTAATTTATCCAGCTGTTACTTCTCATGACATATTTCTGTTGACATAGGCCTAAGGAAAAACACTTATTGGGCAAAGTTCATGCTCATGCAGTCATTCTCACGTTTTAGTTTCATAGAAAGGTGCTGCTGTTGCCTGAATGCTGATTTCTAAGGAGAGTGGGATGTGCATGGTTAGGGGTTTCCAGCTCTCATCACTGTTACTGTCTTGGGGGAGTTTGCTTTTCTAGGGGATCACAAAAATCCCATAAATAAGCTATGATCCTAAACCCACAGTGCTTCTGTGATTGATTTATAGCGGAACAGAAGCAATAACATAGATGCCTTTTGTACCATGCTACTTTGGTCTTGGTTAAAAGTCATGAAAGATTTTGATAGCAAAAAAAAAAAAATTGATTGATTATATAACAAGGCCTGCCCTTAAATCTTTCATAACCTCTGAACGCAGGAGTGGTGTAAGTCAATGTCAGTTGGTTTTGAGTCTGGTGTTTGGTGAGTGCAGAGCAAACCCAGAGATTTTGCAAGATACACATGAAAATTCAGTCTCTCTTTATTTCCATTCATCATGCTCTGTATTTGGGACCCATAGTCCCAAGCCCCTTTGCTCTCCCGTGTCCTTTCAAAGCAAGCATCTCCTGTGGAACAGGTACTGATGGGTCCTTGATGAGGCTCCACGCTGTGCAGCCGTATTCCCTTATGCACAGTGCACCCTGGGAAATGTTTGTGGATGTGCAAAGCAGCAGTGAGGATCAAAGTGTTGGGCTAGGGAGGGATTCACAGCAGATTGGGCAGTAGCTCTCCCTTGGACATGCTCTGTGTGCATGGGTGGGACCTTCGCTAGTACACACTGGAGATGACATCGTGCACAAGTAGCACCAAGTAAAGATCAGCCATAGTACTTCTCTAGTGCTTCTCACTGCAGGCTATATGAGTGCCTGTAAGGAGAAATAGTGTTTATTCTCAGTAAGGCAAAGTAATGCTGTAGCTTCTGTTTTCAATAATGGGAAAAGAAGCACTGAGCTGGTGCAAGTCTGAAGGCCTGTCCTGCTCTTCACTACTGAGAGCTGCAGGAGCTTGGCACTTCAGTGGGGCTGGGTCCTACGGGGCTCACACAAGTTGATGTGCTAGATATCAGCACCAGGAACAAACAGAAATAGCTCCTGTTCTGACCGTTAAAGCATCTACCAGCATAATGATCCTACTGAAAATTACACATAAGGAGTTATGTTTGGTTTCTTTCTGAATGACGGTGGGTGCATGGGCTTCTAGCGTGGCTGGTACTGAGAGGTCTCTTCTGTGCTGCAGGGTGGTGGGTTGGTGAGCAGTGGTGGGGCTAGTGATCCCTGACTGGATGTTTGAAGTTCTGCAGAGTGTAGGTCAATCTTTGTTGCTTTTGTTGGAGGGTGCTCTTGCATTCTTTTATCTGAAAGATTAGAAAAGGAGCTGGTAGAGTGTCACTGCTACCGTAGAGCATCCACCGACAGGCTACTGAAAAGTACCAGCATGCATCCCTTCCTTAGAGCAGTATGACTGTTTGTTTATGGGCTTTGAGTCTGTTCTCTGTGGAGAAAAAATTATTATATAAACCAACATCATTTTCTTCTGAAATTCACGGAGATGTTGTGCGAGGAGAATTCAAAGCAGAAGCTGGAGGGGAAAAAGCTTAAAAGCTTCCATGTGCGTATCTGCTGCTTACTGCATGTTTGTTCAGCATCGTTGTTTCGTCCCAGCCTCTGCGCTGGGGGGTCAGCTCGGTTCAGGCTGTGATGTAGACCTCCAGGAGTCCCCCGACGGAGTGCATTCGGTAGAACACACTCAGCGGGAGGCCAAAGTTCACAATCGCAAACCAGGTGGAGTAGCCGTAAAATGACCTTTCCAGTCCGTTCTCGAAGACAGGGTGAGCCCCAAATGTGGGCATGACCCAGAGCTGAAGAAGTGTAAGGAAAAAAGAGCAGAAGTCAGAGCATGACAACTTATCCCCTACCTACACTTTTAATCTCAGCACTGTCCTGAGTGGTTGTAGGAATATTTGGAGTATCAGAGGAGTTTCCCTGCCAGGAAAGAGAAGGAAAATCCCCTAGTTACGCTGCTGACTCCTTGCTATAAGTCAAATACTGTCAAATTTCTGGAAACCTGATGGTGGCTTCATTCTGCCCCAGCCAGCTTTGTCTTTCTACAGAATTTCACTGGTTCCTTGGCCAAATTGTTTTCACTGGATTAAGGCTGAAGCAAAGATCTGTGCTGACTCAAGATGCCAGAGCACAGTGTACTTTATTGGGTGAGTTTCGATCTTGGAGACTCATGTTTAAAAAGACTCACCGCTGGTGCCTCATGTTCCTCCACCTATCTCATGAAACACCTTTAGGAGTTTGATAACT